AAGTGTTCATTATTGATCTGTCAGGCAGTCATAGTGAAGGAGCAACATTGTGTCATGCCAGTCCTTAAGTATACAGTTTACATATTGTTGTGACTTGTGAGGCTCATTCTCCTTATCTTGCAGACAGAGATGCAGAGATTACATTTACAAAACAGCTGGCCTGAAAAGAAATTCTACACAGTGATCTAAGGTCTCTGCATATTTTTTTTCAGGAGATAAACAACAAGATATCAAGCCTCAAAACAGTGTGGTTTCAATTTTTTCAGAGTAGCTGGCACTAGCTGTCTGCCTATTGTTTTGTTGTAAATGCATCAAAAAATGTAAAAAACAAAACAAAAAAAAACAGCAAAGTACAAATCTTGTACACAGTCTAGGGCTGTGCGATATGACCAAAATCTCATATCCCAATATAAGAAATTCTATCGTCCTGATAACGATATAAATCACAAAAATATAACATTTTCTGTAAATTCTGTGAATCTCGGACAGCTCATCTTGCGGGAAGTGTTTCCAGCTGTGCGTCATGTGGCTGGAGTCGAGTGTTTTAACCGATGCATGAAACTACACATTTTTAGACATAAGTTGTAAAGGCCGCCGTTTTCTTTGTATTTATTACACGGTGTGCTGCGGGGAAAAGCCTGTTCTAACGTTTGAGTCTAAGGTTTATTTTTTAGCACCTGGCGGCTCTTTTTTAATTCTCATTCATAAATAATCTGCTCTTTCACTTTCAAATTTTAATCTCATGATGCTGGCTTCTCACAATTAAAGGAACATGATTAAGTGCCACTGAAAATGTATGCTCTGCCAATAGAAAGTAAGCAAATCAAGTGGTCGCTAGATTAACATGCCTCCATGAGCCAATCACAGCTGTTCCCTGCACTGTGCAGCTTCAGGTTTCCTGGACTAGACGGGCTTAGTAAAAGTGCGTTAAAAGAGAGATACATAACCAAATTCAAATGTGTGGCACGGCAGGAGGCAAAGAGCTTTTCCCTTGAATTGAATCGTCATTTGCTGTTCGGAGATATTGCAAATTTAGGTCAAGTGATGTTAACCAGGAACAAATTATATGCAAAGAGTGCTGTAGAGTTGTGTCTGCACCGCAAAACCACACAGGTAACTTATTCAGCCACCTGAAAACAAAGCACAAACTGCAGGCAGGTCAAGAAAATCACAGTTCAGCTCGGACTTCTATATAAGTGAGCAATGATGCAGTGAAATCACCAACGCAGTCGCATTTGGGCAAAGATGCAAGGGTCAACCAAACACGGAGCATAACGATGGCTTCAGGAAAAGGTTTAACATACAATTATTTTTCTAAAGTGGAAATACCAGTGCCGTATGTAAAACACTACTGGGGAAATAAAGAGGGATCTTACAGCTGTCAAGCACTTTGCTATTAGTTTTATTCAGATCAGGTACAATGATTGAAGGGAAAGACTATTTTATGCACTTCACTTGGTGCAATTTTTAAAAAGATATATTTTTTCTTCTAACACATGTGCTGAATTTGGGTATATAAGTAAAAGCTATTTTACTTTACTGAAAAAAAAGCTTTTGTGCCAATAAAAAAAAGAAAACATTTATAATATTTATTCTGTAGACAAGAACTATCAGACTGCAAAGAAGATAACATAAACAAGTCTGACTAATTTAACGAAAGGAGTTAGAAATGTTTTTGTATTGCTGATCAGACGGAGCCTGTCATTTTCCACCACACCCCGAGGTTTTGGTGGAAAGCAATACAAGGTACAGTCACCTAGATACTGTGAGGTTATCTTTACTGATATCTGCATGATTTCAGACTGAGTCACTAGACAGAAATCTAACCAGAAAACATTCCAAGGGATCGCTTGTGATCATCTCCACGCAAGCCTTGCTCATCTCAAACAAGCCTATTGAAGTTGGGCAAGTTGAGACATTACACACTTTTCTGTATTAGTAGTTTTTAACCTACTAAAACTGCACATAAGCAAGTAACCTAAGTGTCAAATATTTTGATGTAATGCACCTTTGCATGCTTGGCAGCAAACCTGATTTGATGCTCGATGAGAAAAAGCCATGCCAAATGATTTGTGTACATTACAGAGAAGGGCGTGGAAACCCTTATAATCTTTAAGACTTACTAGTTTTAAAGTTAAGCCCTAAAGCTGGTCAATTACTATTAAGAAGATGAAGGTTTAAACGGAGCGGCACAGCAAGTCCCTTGCTGACGCTGGCATCTCTGAGCTCATGCTACTGGGAGCAATTTTCTCCAGCAGGTGTTTTCCTCTGTTACGTGAACTTCAGCTCTCACCTTACACCTCAATTACTGTTATGACTGTACAGGCTTCTGGTTCAGACTACCTTCCCCAACACTTTCATCATCCTGCCCTTGTTGACACCTTCTGCGGCATCATGACACAGCAGGTCTCATGACACCAACCAAAGTGGCAGAAGGTGCATTTAAGCAATCCAAGAGTGTTTGTGCATGATTATGTTGGCATTTAGGGTTTAAGGGTTGCTGGTTTTAACAACGGAAAATGTGAAGCATGAGAGGGCTGAGGACAACAAGCTTGCTCTGCACAATTGCCACAATTAGGCTACGTCCCTTTCCACTCACACACACGCACACACAAATGAAACACACACCCTTGGGTGGCTGCTGAAACAACTAGACAAGGCTATTCATACATGCAGTAAAAAGGCCTGACACACCTGGAGCCAGGGATGTGAGAACTGAGTGGAATTATGAAAATTAAATTGTTATATAAACATGTTTTTCTTCCGCTTGTCATATACACATGGGGCCTGGTAACACTATTTGTGCAAGGCATCCAGGGAAACTTGTTTTCATACTCCAGGGCCAGCATTGCTTGTGAGTTTGATTTATTCCCGTCTACTTGGTTGGTTTAACATTTATTTAATCACCATAGTAATGGATCCTGAAATAATTTCCCCAAACACACACACACACACACACACAAAGCACAACATACTCTTCAAGTTTGAAATTCCTAGCATCGAGCTAAGACCAGACATCCCAACAGAGCAAAGCAGAGTGAACAGGTCAAGCATGTTGAGGCTAAACAATGAGCTTAAGTGGTGTGTGTTTGTGTTAAGAGACAGAGACAGAAAGAGGAGGAATGAAAGGGGTAATAGTAACAATTTAAGTGCAGGTCCTGATTTAGAAAACTCAATGAGTAACTTGCCAAGATTAAACATGTCAAGAAGTTAAGAAACTGATTTAATTTCTTTACCTTGCAATTTCAGAAACCAGTTTCTCAGCGTTTCACTGACTTCTACTGAAATCCATTTGCATCATTGTGAAATTTGGACCAAAATATTCATTCTAAGGGCAGAAAAAGAAAGTAGCGAGGGAAGATAACAAACATAAAATCAATACACAGGATACATTTGTTGTATCAGAAATGTGACAAAAGCTCCTGGAAAAACACAATTGACTATAGAAGGCTTAATAGAGGAAGCTGGTGGCTGTTGTCAAAGAGGATGTGATGGAAAATCTGGTCTAAACTTTAGTGACAAAACCATTTTTTGTCAATCAACTTCCACATTCTTTGCAAGCATACTTCCTGCACGCAGGTGAGGAAGACATTAAGTAGTCCTGCTCGCTTCTCTTTTTTTGTGCCCACTTGGCTCCTGTCCATCTTTCTTTGGCACCACATTTAAGAGGTGTGGCAAGCAGCTTGCAACATTATGCCACATTGTAAATTAATTAATTAATTGCACTATTTTGTACATGCAAAAAAACACAAAACAACAACTGAAATAAATTAAAAATGCAAGGCTACAAAAGCGCTTTCCAAACAGGTAATCAAAGAAAACAGAGTTGCTTCCACACAAACTAAACTATTCAGGCCGAAGTATAAATCTGTTTAATCACAACTCTGGCTGAGCGGATTTGAGAGAAAGTTAGAAAGGCGAGGCTGAGATGGTTTGGGCTTGTGCAGAGAAGGGATAGTGGATATATTGGACAAAGGACTTTGAATAAGGAGCTGCCTAAGTCTGGTCCCAAGAAAAATGTAGCCAGAATTAAGGAAGGTGTTTTTGTTGGTGAAGTGGAAAGTTGGAAAATCTAATCATCATTTCACCTGAAATCGGTGAAATGATGCTTGACAATGAGTTCAGAAGCCAAATGGATCAGCAGCATGGGAAGCCTTCGTGCAGGTTGTCCAGAATTTTCTTGGAAATCACAGAATTGTGCTCAGCTTATGGATAACATGCTAAAGACATTTCAGCTAATGACTGCCGAACATCACTTTAGATGCACTTCTTACGTTCTCATCTCGACTTTTCCCCCCACCAAATCAGTGATGAGCATGGAAGAAAGATTTCATCAAGCATAAACTGATATCAGGGAAAATTCAATCCTAGCATAATGGGAGAAGACTGTTGGTTCTTGCTAAGTCAAGCGCAAAAGCAAATGTATTAAACATTTTTTAACATGTTTAATTTTGAGCTAAATTGCCAGGAATTTGCTTTAGCGTCTCTGTCTGGTGTTTCTGGTTTATTATCAGAATACACACATTAAAACTATTTTGTAGGGCAAATGCTTGAAATTTCAGATATTGTTTTGCTATATTGATATTCAAAAGTGATGTGTATCTCAAAAACCTGAGGCAAGTTGGTTGTACTTCTGAAGTCAGTGTAAAAAAAAAGAAAAAGAAAAAAAAAAAAAACAGATAAAAAGCCGGTGTGAGGTGCCCAATAGCAAACAAAAAAAAGATTTTGCAGAGCAGTGTTATCAATAACTATAACAACAATCTCATGTTAAGCAAGTCTTTGTTTTAGATAAAGGGAAAGCTCAATCGCCTCAGATAAAATCTATATGCTGGTTTGTTTTGAAATGATAGAAATTTATTAACCCCTAAGGCTGCCTGAAAAGGGAACTGATATGCAGTTACTTTGGGTGCCTGTTTTTCCAAACTACGATATCTTTTAACTAATATCATCCAAGGGCAACTGACAGCAACTTACGCCACCTTTAAAGCAACAATAAAAGTAGCTAATGGACCATATCGTACCATACTTTTTCCACTATCCCAGGGTGGGGCGAGTAAGGAAGGAGGACTTTAGCCAGAAAGAAAGCCCTGATTAGCCTAGATTTACGTTTAAGCGAAGAATTGTGCCATATTTTATCTGTAAATAATAATGCTGCTACGTAAATATTGACTAGCAGCAGCCTTTAATGCAAATAAACCACGAGGCGATACTGCAGAGTCAAATGGATTGGCTAATGGAGAAGCTAATGTTTACATTCTGACAGTGTGTGCTCTATTACGGTGAACGCATTATGAGGTAGGGGTAACCATACAAGCACCACTTTGCCTTAAGCTGATGTTTTCCACAAACTGCCTTTATAATCACTTGGCTACAGAACAGCTCATCTCCCAACGTACACGCTAACTGCTACATTTATTAAACGAGAAGCTACCTTAAGGTAAACTACTAGACTTTCAATTGTGATGGCTAATGCATCGAGTTTTGTGAAACACATACAATTTAAACATACCCACCTTTCGTGCTTATCCTTCACAATCAACGATCGGTGCGAGTGTGCTAGTCACGTTAGCTCCGGTAAGTCCAAACGCTGGGTTGCGACATACTAGCAGCTAGCTAACTAGCAAACATTAGCAAGAGGAGCTCCGGCAGAACACGAGAGCTGGCGCCGGTAGAACACCGGCTGAAACTGCCTCGCACCCGCTTTGTTTTGTGGAGTATTTGCTGCTCTAACTACGGAGCCGAGGCAGCTTCACTTTATACGAAAGCATTTACTTACTATTAAAACACAAACTTGCAGCATCAGCCTTAACGTTTAGCTAGCTGAAGCCGACCTCTCAACTTGTTACCTCTCACCTGTCTTTACAGACAGGAGTCGACAGGGGGTGCTGTTTGCACAGGATAGCTTCATTAAGGAAAATGACGGTCTCAAAACCGCAGACCTGTGCCATGTGGAGCAGGTTTTGCCAAGGAGAGCCCTCATAGAGAACGCAGCGTAGATTTCGCAAGCTGATAGTGACTTTCACTGACACATTTCTTATATTTTTAGCAGCAGTCGAACTAGTTTGCACCTTTGAAGTCGTAGGATGTGCAAAAAGAAAGTAGTTGACAATAGAGAAAAATCCAGCTAAGAAGTACTTAAGTACTTTTTGTGCACAGTATGGTTTTATGCATTTTACGCTTATTCATCATATATAATTTAAGCAGTATTATGGTTTAATTAATGAAAAGGTCTGAAATGTTTTTTATTGCTGCTTGCCCAGGGTGAGCTGCTTCAACTATTTAATAGAAAAGCATGCAATGCATATTTAAACATTTTGCTCATTATCTATTGTACAGGTCCTCATCATAACGCATTGAGAGGTCAGTGCATCATTAACAAAGCAGCAGTCACAGGCAACAAAGGGTAAGAACAGATCATTTTAAAAGTAAACAGTTATGCAGAAATAACCAACGGAAAACCCTGTGTTTTGATTTCACTAATTAAAACACAATTCCTTTAAACATTAAAACTGGTTAGCAATAAACAGGGAAAGTACAGAGCACACTCAGAAGTTCAATCATTTCAGGCTCTTGGTTGAAGCTGGATCAGGCTTTCTTTCAAGATATGCAGCCTTCGCAGTGGTCTAAATTTCTTTAAATTCAAATAATGTTCATTGAACAGATATGTTTCCATAGGTAACTGCCTTTGTGCACATTAAATCTCTCTCTCTCTTCAGAGCTTAAAACCTTTTACTTATGTTAAATTGTTCTTCAGCAGGATTCCTGTTAGTCATATATCAGACGTCATTCAGGTACTGATGATATACATCTCAAGTCCTCCAACGCAGCCTTTTAAAGTAGTGTAAATCTTTGCATATGTCATTTGTTTCTTTTACCCACAGTTATGGGCTGTTCTACTAATACAAATTACCTCAGCATTGAGGGATGTGTGTGCACAGAGCGGTCGATGCGTCTTAGTGTGTCAGAGCATGCACACGGCAGCCTACTCTGTGTGCACGCATGGGGAGTGAGGTGGAGATGGACTGACAGACAGCGTAAAGGAGAGAGTGCACCTAGTTAAACTCAAGACTTTTCCATGACTTGCTCCCTGTGGCATGCACTCTATCTGAGAGACTAATTGAACTGCATGGCTTTATCAGTATAAACTTTTCAAGGGTCAGCTACATCACTTCAGAGGACGATGGAAAAACGTTGTGTTTTTTCAGACTGGTGGCAGCTCACCTTCGAATAAAAAGCGGCAGCTCCACAAGATTGATGACGGTTGTTTAAGAAAATTTAGCAAAAGAATTTTGCTCATTTTCTCCCAAACATATTCCCTAAGAGAATTCCCCTTATCTGAGAGCTCAAGTATTTTTAATCCACGGAAAAGTTAAAACACAAACACTTGTTTGCTGATAAAAGACAACTTGGGAGGTAAGTGTAGTTAGTGTAATTCACCTTTGTTTTCCTTTTTACAGCGAAAGTTATGACCAAACTGACTGATAGCGCTCGACATGAGCAACAACACTGATTTAAGTTAAACATGCCTTTCCCCTTACATAAGTCCATGTGGGAGAGAGAGTGACTTTTTAGGCATAGTACGCTGTGTTTTGGTTTATTTTAAATAGAATCTATTGATAGCCCTTTAATGAGGTTTTACTGGAAAGAAAAAAAAAACATTTGGTTTGTTTTTTTTATATAACATTCTTGCCTCTGATGACCTATTGCGCTTTTTTGGTTTTTCAAAAAGGGTTAGATCTAAATCCTCTTCCCTTTCACTTCTCTTCCTCTACAAACTGACACGTCTCAGCTCTACATCTGTAACAAGGCACACACAACGCTGTCACTCCATTTTTATTTTCTGTCTGTTTAACTCCATGTCCCCGTCTCTCTGTCCTCACTTTTTCCACTCTGATCTCTATGGAATAGCAGCAGCCTGTGGCTTAGCACATTAACGCACAAAACTCCGACACAAAGTGGACGCCAGCGGTCTTGTATTGATCAAAGCTTTAAAAGCTTTAAACTGAGATGCACCTTGCATCACTGTTAAACAGAGAGCTCAGTCCCAGGGTGCTCTGACTCATCAGTCCTCTGGGCTTTTAGCTGTGTGTCCAACTGTTGCATTATGTCTTGTCTGATGAGTTTCAGAGAGCGGATTATCTTTGCAGGGATGCAGGATATCTTTCAAATAGCAATTTATGATGTTTTGTTCTCGATTGGTTTATCACATGTATCAGTGCTGTAGTGTAATTTGGAAAGTACATTGGTTACATTTTATTGGGCAATAATGGCGCTGAACAAAATCACAGTTGTCACTTTTACTATGGTTGCCTTTTACCTAATCTCACTGAGCCTTATTTAGATTGGCCACCAAGAGAGATGAAAGGTCTTTGACCTATGATTTAGCAATGTCAAGGCGCAGGTGTCATTATGCTCTCCCTCCTCCTCATCCTTCATTTTACCCCCCTGACTCCTTAACCTTTTAATTCCCCCTTCTTGTTTGCATCCCTATCCATGTATCTTATTCTAACTCTTCCCTCGCAAACAGTGCCAGATATGTGTCTACGCTTGGTAGGCCGACTCCAGACAGGTTATAAATAACTATCTGAGTTTTTGCTTCATGTCCTGAGAGCTCTACTTTCTTCTCACACTTGAGGAACCATGGGAAAAGAATCTTTCCCTTACGCACATGGAGCTCATAATAACAGACACAGTTGTACATAAAACCTTCAAGCCCCTGCACCCCTTTGCAAGCTTCGCACAAACACAGAGGCACAGTTATGCATGAACACAAAGAATAAAACTCAGTGGCTTACAGAGTAAGGTTGCAGCACTAAAATAGCAAGGGAACTGTTTATAATGAAACAAAACCTGAAGTGTGGGAATGCAGAGAGCATGTCTACTGTTGTGTAAGTATAGGAATGTTGTTGGAACAACAGAATAGATTAAAAGTACGGGATAGCAAAAGAACAAGAAAACAATCAAAGTGGAGCAAAAAGGGAAAAATCTAAAGTTGCATAAAGGGGAAGCGTTTTGTTTAATGATATGTTTTAGGAAATAAAAAAGGGGTTCTTGTGAGTTTATGCGCAGAGGAGTGATAGTGAAACAGTGGACTACAGCTGGGAGTCGAGGCAAATTCAGGGGTTGGCAGGTCAAACTCTGCTGACACACCGGGATCAGCGATGGGATTGTTTCCATTGGAAAGAATTCCAAGAATGAGCTAGAAGAGCTATCAGTGACTTCACTCGGAGGACTCTGACAGCAGTTTTAATACACAGCCAGGC